TTGGTGTTCTTCTTAAATTTCTGGAGGTTATATGCCTCCAGGAACACCTCCCTTGGCAATGTGTTCCAGAGCCTTGCTGTTCGTTGGATAAACGAGTCTTTGGAAAGGGATGTTCTGCAGGTCTCCAAAGTGACCACGAAGGGGTGCAAAGCCTCAACTCGACGGGTTAATCTCGCGGGAACTGCCAAGGGAGGAACAATTTTCGATATTTCAGAAGAGCATCGTCCATGAAAATATCTATAAAATAGAGCCAGATCGCCAACTTTTCTACGGTGTTCCAGAGAAGTGAGCGAGTTTGTGAGCGAGGCATCACCCACGAGACGAATTGCCCTTTATTGGACAGAATCGAACAGTTCCAGGGTATGTTTAGGTGCTACCACTCCAAATATGGGAACAGTATTCCATGACAAGTTGGATCTGTGCCTTATAGATCATGAGCAGCTGACTGGTAGTGAAATAGCTCCTGGCCCGAAACAGAAAACCAAGTTTTTGGGATGCACTTTTAGCAATTGATCTCACGTGATTTTACCAAGAAAAGTTATTACTGATAGTAATACCAAGCATCGAAATGAATGTCTTCAAAGGTATGGTTACTCCTGACAAGCTTATGTTGGGCACAGTGAGATCGGCTTTTCTAGAGAAAAGGCATGCTTGTGTTTTGTTTGCATTGAAATCTAGCAAGTTATTGGATCCTCATTCATTACTTATATTGTAAATATATAGAACTTACAGAAGGTATCCAAAAAGTATGAATTTTTGAAATTGCCCAGTATCTCATAAACGGAAACAGTTATTCTAAATCTAATCAGGCCATCTTGAGTTTCATAAGAAGAAGTTGGACAAGAACGTGAAAACCGCAATTTTCTATCTTAAATACGAATCGATAAACGTGGTAGTCTGAAGCAGAATGGGATGCACTGGATATACATGGTCAAGAGGAATAACACAATAATTTTTTCGGACAATTTATATCTTTTCATCGAGTGATGGTACTCGAGGTACGACAATAAATCTTCTGGCACAAGAGTATATAATATCGTATTTATCTACCTATCAAATCCTGATTGCATCTATGAGACTCATATCGATTCCACGAAATCTGAGATGAGATATCGTAGACTTTATGACTATAATTTCAGAGTCGAGAACCTAATCGCATAATTTATACTTTCATGCGATATTTTTTTCCTGTACTTATGTTTATTCATAATCGTCTTTAATTATAGATAAATGATTTTTTATAATGTCAGCTGTCGGTATGACATCACGATATCCGGAGATATACGATCATTTACAATTTTTTTTGTAAATTTTCACGAAATTCTCACATTCCACTTATTGTATAGAAAATTTCTTTCAGTCTTGTCGATTATATCAATAAAATAATGAACAGTGGGTCGTGTGTTCAATACTACTAATGGTATTTTCAACGATGACTCGATGAGTAAGGTGCAAATGTAAATTTATAAGACAAAAAAAGTACTTTTGGAAAATAGTATGCATATTTTTTTGTCGCAAGAATGTTGATGTTAATCGAATTCAGATTGTTGCATGTACTTATGGCATTACTATGTGTACACTGTGACCCAGCCAAAAGACCTCTCACCTTCAGCAAATTAATTGCTAGAATTAATGATTTGGAATTTGACATTCCGGTATTTCATTGATTTGAAGAATATATTTTTCGTAAATTAATCATCGAAACCATCAAAGAGAACCTAACCAATAATTTTATTTCACTTTTTATTTAAACGCACTAATCTGATTTTTGTTGTTTGTTCGACAAGTTAATTTTTACTTCAACGTTGAAATAAGTGGCGGGCTATCACACTTTGTAATTTCTCATTTTGTTATCAAGTAACATCTATCCTTACATTCTTTTACTGCCTCAGTAACTTTATTATTGTAATAGATACAAGGGTATTGGAAAGAATCACATATATTTCGATGGTAAGAACGAAGTTTGCCCAGAGTAAGAAAAAAATTTGAGAATTATGTTCCACCGATAAGTAATTCTATTAATGAATCGTCCACCTCGACGTCCAGACATTAACCCAATTGAACATGTATGATATGCTCTTGTGTCTGATTTCCTTATGAGTTCACCTACACTCTGAAGGAGGTAATTATCAAGGTAATAATAAAATCGGAACTGAATTAACAAACTTCAACTCCTACATTTTTGCCGAGTTCGATGTTCAACGAGTATATCTGGTCCAATTCATTTCAAATTCACACACCGGTTGAGTATAGGTACATAATTATAATCAGAGCAGTCAATCTCGAGTATTCCTTCTATAATTCATTGGAATCTATTAAAATTGACGGCAGGGCAATTAACATAACATCTATTAATTAAAAACGATTTCAGATTGATATTTTGTTGAAATGAAAGCGTCTCAAGGACAACTTTTTAATAATCAATTTCAACATAATTAAAGTAGATGATATTTCCTCCTTCGATAGTTAATCACCTTCGTAAGAAAGAGCTGAATACGAAATCAAACACATATAGAGTATTAAATTATAAATAGATACATAAGAATGATGTTCATACTATTTTTATAATATTTTTTGTGATGGAGTTATTATCTAGGAAATATTATAATAGCATAGAAAAAATATAGTAAGAAATCCGTAATCACAGTTCAATCTACATGATTTTGAATGAAATGGTGTACCATTGAAAGTTGTGGCGTGTTCGCCATTTCTTCGGATTGTAACAGAATATGAAAATAATAGTATGAAACGCTGTATTTGTTCTGTGACTTTTTGTGGACCTATGTACCAATTCTTGAGAATTTTATTTTCAAACAAGCATTCGAGAGGAATACACCAAAATTCAATATAATTAAGTCACACGAGATGCCTTTGGAATCGAAAAAAGTTACCTCCGCCAAAACTTCGAATGAAAGAAAAATTTGTTAAAACATCATTTTTATTTCATTGAAAAGAGGTAGGTAATTTACGTTCTAGCTACCAACTAACTACTAGAAACTATACCTATGCTTACAATATAGATTTCAGTTTCTGAAATTTGCATCACGTATTTGTAGACCTTCACAATCACATTATTATACCCCTTATTTCCTAGATAGATACTTAGAGAGGATGTAATGATTATATTGCCATTAGCTCTCAATCTGCTGTAATGATGTGTTGATTTCTCACTTGATGTAAAAGTCACCCTGGTGCTTTAATGATGGAGGGAGTTTTTTCACACAAGCCCCAAAAAAATTGCACACATTATAATGTCGTTACATCCGTCAAGATTCAGTGGTTTGTTTTTGAAGTGATAAATCAACTCCTACACGGAAAACGCTATTTGACGACGACATAAGTCATTTTGACATCGATAAAAAAGGATGAACCTTTTTTATCGCTGATAAACTGTCTGCTCCTTTGATCTAGTAGCTATTTACGCCTGATGTCACTTCAATTTCTGTCGTGTCAAGTTTGATCGATGGGTATGGCAAGATTAGCCGTTTTAGGAAAGTTTCGTCTGAAGAAACCACGAAAATATAAGGAAATCAATTTTGCAAACTACCAGTTACATTTATCTTGCCAAAAAACACTCGAACTTTTATTTTAATTGGATAAATTTCCTTACACTCAAACATTTTCCATCAGTTATTTCTCTCGGAAAACTGACATCAGACAAAATTGCTCGACCAACGGTCTCGCAATTTTTTCATGTCAGTTTTTCTCGTAAAATTACTGATCGGCAAATGTTTTTCGTCACCAAGAGAAATTTATCCGATAAAAAAAATGATCTCGTGTTTTTACTGTTGATAATGTTCGACAAGCATTTTCTGACAGGTGATAAATCCCTTATTGCTATTCACATCACTATTTGACCTTAAGAAGGGTATAGGCATATACATTATTATATACAGTGTGTGCGATTTCAGTAATTTGGAATCCGTTTACCGATTTTACAAAACAAGAATTCCATAACATAGTTCTCAACGAATATTTCAAAATGTGGACAAATCTGAAATATTCAGATACTCAAGGCCTCCCTCCTATTGCTTGTTGAAGGGGTCAAAATTTTAAATTTTTGCTTGTTCAATTCACCCTCTATCAAAATCTAAGGAGATTATATAATGAGCGCTAAAGTAGTCATTTAATGGAGGAACACATCGAATATTTACTAAGATATGAAGTTTCATCGTTGTAAGTTCTAAAGGATCAAATTGAAGTTATTTTTTTGTTTCATCATGATGATACACATTTTTTCCCTAAAAATAGAAACTAACTCATTTTACTCATTAGAGGAAATATTCCCCATACAATTTTCATAAACTCATCTCAAATGTTCATTTCACTTCGCCAAAGTCGGTACATTATTATGATCATATATCAATCTTCAGTATATCTCCTTGCAGTCTTTGGAGATATTGTGTTTTTGCTATGAATTGAAATTCGGATTCCACTATAAGCTGTAGGTCGCGCTCTTCCTAACCCCGCACAAGTTACGACTGTTATATGGTGTTGGTTCCGAACTTAGAAACAGCAAAATAAAAGTTTCAAAAATTTCACAAGAAAAACATTTTATCGTTTGTGCACAAAAATATCCTTAGATTTCTTCGGTCAGTAGCAGGTATTTGTCGTCCAGATGAATTTCGTAAAACTTCGTATCTAAGTATTTGATGGGTTCCTTCATTAAACGACTACTCCATGCACCGGTTATATCAACTCCTTGAATCTTGATACAGGGTTAAATGAAAATGCAAAAATATTTTATTTATTTTCTGTTTTTGAGGTTATAAATTAGTGAATGTCAGTGCCAATAATTTCACTTTCAGGTATAAACTATCCAGAATCCTTGAACTTTTCTGATCATCTAGATTCTACAGATTTGTCTGATTAGTTCTTATACGACAAGAAAAAAACATTGAAGTAAAGCTTTCCTGATAACTATTGAGCTAAATCATTTTCCCTACACGTCGTTTCAGACTCCGATCGTAATCCAACTCTTTCCAAGCAAACAAACTTACAAGAAACATACTAGAATCCAGAACCATGAAAACCACCGTGTCGAGTCCTTCGCCACTAAAACCACGAAAATCCCATCAGTCAGCCGGTCTATGACCACCGTCACATCGGAATCCCATTCCCGACCAATAGGGACCCTTCGTAAACTCCCCCGAACTATATGGACGCACTACTCCCAAGGAAAATTCACTTCCCGCACTCAACAGGTGTGTAAGTGGAAAACGCGCAAGTGCCCGACCTCGTTCCTCGTTTGTCTCCTGTGGGTCGCAGGAGGCGACGCGGTCTCTCGTATCAAACAATCGAAAATCGAGCTCGCCGTTCCACGGCCAACTTGGGACTAATGCGGCTGTGGACGGCGCACTCACCGAAACCTAGAATGGCGGAGTGGGGCCAACACGGTTCAGTTCGGTCGGTTCAGTTGGTCTTTTCAGTTTTGCTGGCTGGTTGATAAGACGAACTAGTGCAGTCGGTCGCAACTCTGACTCTGGATGTTCAAATGTTACGTTTCCATATGAAAATGGTCGAAGAAAAATGTAGCATTTGACAGTACTGATGTACTACTCGACTCAATCTGCAATGTGAATTATTGCTCTTAATTCGACATCGAATATTCTCGGTTTTAATTGCAGAAGTGCGTAAAATTTACCGATATTTTCGCAGGAAAGCTTGTCATCTAAAAATTGCAAAAGTTTACTTTCATATTTTGGCGAAGGAGAGGGATATATACAAAATATGAAAATACCCAAATGCAATTTATATATGCACGAATGTAGGTGATTCATTAGAATATATCACTAATAAAGAAATTCTCCAAGAAATCATCTTTTTTTTTAGAAATACTGATGTGCTTTACAGGGTGATTCAGGTTTTAAGGTACAGGGTGATTCACCATAAATGTCCCCTCCTCTAGCTCACTTACTCTTGAACCGATTTAAAAATTTGAAAAATCATCTAAAATGATTTCTCAGAATTTTTTTTCCCGTTGCATCAGAAAATACAGGGTGCTCGGAACAAACGATCGACAGAGTACTACTTGATTTTTTCAAATGGAACACTTTGTATTCCATTGAGTTTTTAGATTCTTGCTGAAGAGCTGATTTCATCAATCTATCACACTTGAGGTCTAGCGGGAATGAGTACAGAGATATAGTGAATTCAAAATCGAGATTTTTTAACGTTAGGATTTTTTTGTGTCGAAACTATTCATTATTGGTCAAGACGGCTTCAATGTCCTCATCTCAACTTCTGATTCACTATCTACTGACATTTAATTGGAACATATACAGTGTGGTTCAAGATTCAGAATTCAGATCACCCTGTATCTAATCCAATTATTAAATGTCAGTAGATAGTAAATCAAAAGTTGAGAAAAGGACATGAAAGCCGTTTTGACCGATAATGAATAGTTTCGTCACAGAAAAATATAAAAAGATGAAAAATCTAGATTTTGAACACCCTATATATCTCTGTAATCATTTTCGCTAGACCCCAAGTGTGATGCATTAATGAAATTAGCTCTTCAGGAAGAATCTAAAAATACAATGAAAAATAGGGTGTTTCATTTGAAAAAATCATATAGTACCCTGTAGATCGTTTGTTCCGAGCACCTTGTAGTTTCTGATGATGTAGCGGAAAAAAACTCTATCTAAAATCATTTCAGCACCATAATCGGTTCAGAAATAACTGAGCTAGAGGGGGGGACATTTATGGCGAATCACCCTGTACAAACTGATATGGGTGATAGATCTCATCATTTTGATCAAGAAAGTGTGTATGAATATATGTCCAATCTCGATCAGGTGGACAAAGTTTGATTATTTTTTCTACTAATTGAAATATCTTGCTCACTTCTGGATATATCAATTTGAATTTTGATGTGGTCAATACTTTCTAGAAGATCATCAAATGAAGCATTTCAAAGATTTGTAAAATCCACAGAGTGAAACATTTTTGACGGTGAAGGCTTCTTTATTCCCCCCAAACTTTTTCCTAGTACGCCTCTGACATCTACTAGTTACCAAAAAGCTTTCAATTTGAAGACTTTATCTGTATATCATTTGTTTTTTCGAGAAACGACCGTTTTCGAGATAAATAAGCATATTGAGATAAATAAGCTAACCAAATTTCAAATTGATATCTTCAAAAGTGAGCCAGATATTTTGATTTATAGCAAAAAATAATTAAACTTTGACCCCCTGTAGATTCGCTACTGATCGAGATCGGAATCATGTTAATATAAACTTTTTTAATAATTGGAATAATTAGATCTATCATCCATTTCAGTTTGTACCTCAAAACTTGAATCACCCTATACCAGACATTTAGATTGTATACAACTAACTTCATACGGTTAATCAACGATCAACTAACTAACACCCAATATCTACGAATATGGAGCTCATTCAGGCAGGTATAAAGTGATATAGAGGAGACAAATTTTGTTAAAAATACTCTTGATGGTTTGCTGTTTCTTATTCCGTTTCAGCACTAACGAAGTTGATCACATTCACCAGTTCATTGCCTATTTTCAGAAAATTCTTGAAGAAATTTCCATTCATAATCTGATTCCAACTCATAATTTACTGAGACACTGTCTCATAAACTCATCACTTTTTTCTCTACCATGAAATATCTCGAAATCCAACCAATACGTCCGCAAACAATTTTACACTATTCAGTGCTGAATATTCACACCACAATGTTACACCGCGTGAATCTTCATCAACTATATGTAGAACTTTGGACAAATTACAATCTATCCCTGAATTTATTCAATTGTGCCATAGGATAGTACACCTTGAGAATTCTAAGGGTTTGGATTGATAGTACTTATTTTTTATATCACCCTGTTTAGATACTTTATGTAAAATACCAATTCCACAATATCAGGTTGACTCAGTGAAAAGCTTCAGGATGTGGTTGATACGACAGTGTAAACCCGATATGAGTGATTAGAACAAAAAATATGATCGCATTGTTAATTCGACTATAAGAATGTTTTCCAATGAATTCTACATTTATAACTTTCTGCTTGATAGTAGTTGTCAGATTGGCAACATTTCCAAAGCTCAGATAGTTTAACAAACGTGTTCATTTATCGACAGGATTTCGAGTACATCTGTGTTCCTTGTATGTACCTACTTGAGAAAAACTAGACGATGTACCGGGTGTACCCCTAAGAAAGGACGCCGGCTGTATCTCGGAAACTATTTGCAGAAAAAGTTTCGGAAAAAAATATTCATGATAAAAGTGGCCAAGAAAAATCTCTGGAAATTATTTTCAAGTTTCCAGGACAGCCGCTAGAGGGCATAATTGCATTGGCCAATTTGAAAAACGGGTTCTTATGAAAATTTGATATATCAGGACATATCAAAAACACTATTTTCATATTTTGGAGTTGATTTCCAATCATTTCGATCAAAAAAAATTTGCGCTAGCTCTTTAAATAAAAGAGGGAAGGATGAATAGTACTTTGGAAAAAATCTTATTACTACAGTTTGGTGTAACGAAATTCAATGTTCTTGGTCTCATTATGAAGGGTTTTTTCAGATATTCCAGATAAATCACGAATCAAGTCGATTTAAGTCCCGTGGTGGTCGCTAGATGGCATCGTTTGAAAAATCAGCCGATTTGTCATTTTTTTTTCGAGAATTTCAAATGGAACCATATATATGGAAGTAGAGTAAACGAGAATAACAATGGTGAAAACCGCGAGTTGATACCTCTCGAAGAACCGGTGAAATACTTGAAATAATATTATTAAAATTCAAACTGCTAGTATGTCAAATGCCTCCTCATTCGATATCGGCATTTTGACAAAAAAGCAATCCACAATGAACAGTGAAAACTTCCAATAGAACTTCAATTATATTTTGACGTTTCTTTCATTCAAAGCCAACTTGCCTTTTCTCATTCCTGACTCACTACTAACATTTCAATTAGCTATGTCATTACTAGAATTCTCCTTCACTATTGTGAGATATAACTTCATAGATACAGAATATTTCTGATTACGATTATTGAAGTTAGATTCCTGTGGTGAATATTTTCATAATATTATTTCGAGTATTTCACCGGTTCCTCAAGAGGTATCAATTCGCGGTTTTCACCATTCTTCTTCTCGTCTTGCCTGATTGCTAGCCTCGGCTTTAACCATTGGTACACATAATTACGATCATTTCCATTTCAACGCCATATATCTCAAAAACTTATGTCAGTTGTCATCTTGTTTTTTCAGGATATTTCTGAACCCGAGAGATTTCCCACATTTTCCCGGGCACCCTGTACACACCTGCTGTAAGGAAACACTGTAGTATCCATGTTTTTTTTCGACGAATCAGAATTCCGCAATCTGTTCGGTATCGATCTTAGGAACGGATTCGTGCGCAACGAGCATGAAAATATCGGTCCAAGTATTTCCCCGATGTCTAGAATCGGTAAGGCATAGCCGAAGGAGGTATATGCTCAGATAAAGCTAATGAAAAATAGAAATTACTGGTATTCCACATGTAATGGGTCGTTCGGTATACCGTAATGAGCTGCCGTGCCTTCTAATAGGGAATTTTATTTCAATTTAATCAATATTATTTCCTAGTAATGGCCTGCCATTTCTATCGAGGTTCGCTTTTCAATCATCTAGACCGCGATCTATTGATCGTTTTTTCGAAAAACTTTAGCAAAGTCACGGTCAGCTACCTATATCAGCGTTCAGTTTGGTGAATAGAGCTTGTTCAATGGAATTGAAAGCAAAGCAAAGCCTCATTCGCAAACTCAGAACTCAGATGAGTTCGATGATAATTGGTTTCATATTTGTGGAAAATTCTTGCAAGTTATTCTCTTTTATGCACTTCAGGGAAGGGGTAGTTTTAGACCCTCATTATTGATGAATACTGTTGGCATATTTTTCCCAAATCTTTCATCTTTTCATCAATTTCAATAAAACGTTGTGGTTTCGTTTATATATAGTAATATGGAGCTTCTTCTAGTGCAATTAGATTCGGAATAATATTTCCAGTGGCGTCGCAGTGGGTAAATTTATCGATATTCATGATGGATGTGATTGTACAGTGTGTCCTTTTCGATGCTTTTGCATGATATCTCAGTTATCTTTGGAGATAGAACCTTGCGGTTTTCGCGGTCCTGTGCCACTTTTTTGTGAAACTCAAGATGGCCTAATCAGATTTTGCAGGACTGTTTCCGTTTATGAGATACAGGGCGATTTTGAAAATAACCCATAGAGAATTTTATGCAGAAAATACGACTCAAACTAATGATTTTTTAAATTGAACACCCTGTATTTTATAATCTCATAGAATTCCTTATTTTTTTCCCTTCGAAATGATATATGATGTATGAATATAACATCTTCAAAAATGTTAAAAA